AATTACAAATCTACTAAAGATAGAAAATTAAATAGAAAATCGTAATTATATATATTTAATTTCTTCTTTTTAATAAATCTAGTAAGATAGTAAATTTAAACAGTTTTCGTAAATCTAGTAAGGCAATAAAATTTGATCGTATTATTGAATGTAACTGTATTACTGCATTATTGTACGTAAGTAAGTATTTTTGTATCACTATCATTGTATATTGAGACTTTATTATGGTATTATTGTATGTATGTTTGATTGCATTATTGTATTACTATAAGCGTAGTACTGCTTTATTATATGTAATGCATTGAGTAGCTTTTTACCCTGCTTACTCCGAACAGAGATTGTCAGTTCCAAATGCAAATTCTCAGTAGCTTGTATATATATGTTGATCGTTCTAAATGTATATTCCGTAAACCGTTCCGTTCTACATGTATATTTCGTATTATGCGTATTCTTACAAGTATACTATTTGCACCTTTTTATGTATGTATACCAGCAGGCATGCAGTGTTAAATCGATTATAACATGTATACAGGAAAGACATTTAACGCAGCAACAGACATATTGCAAATCATGGAAAATATATATAAGATTTTTTAATTTAACAACACAAGCAACAAAAGCCATGACAATGTAGCAAGAACAATAAAATGATATAAATAATGTAAGCTATATAGATGTAACTTTGTCATCTTTTTTATATACGAATAAATGCTATCTGGCATCTGCAAGGATGACAGCATACTGAGAGGCTTGTTTCAAGAGGGCCAGTAGTCATCTTTAGCAGTGATGTAGTGATAGAAATTAAAATCGATATGAAAATGTCAGCATTATGCTGCAGACTTTTCTTGTACAAATTATTTTGTCATATAGCGAAGCGATTATTTTTTTTATACCTAATTGTAATAATACTATTATTAGTTAAAACATCATTATTAATAATATATCATTTACCTAAGTAAAGCATCAATAATTTGCTGATTTTACTTCAAAATGTAGATTTCAAAATTAGTGAATTAGGGTAATTTTCAGAAAGAGATTGCTATAAAGTACTGCAATTGTTTACATGTCTTAAAGTAACATATATTTCTTTAATAATGTAATCAACGCAGAAATTATATTTCGTATATTAAAAACGACGTTGCTTATTTTCCTTTTCATATATAAATGTACAAAATAAGAACTTGATGCTAAATCAATGGAAACCGAACGGTGTAAATATCTAAGTACTTGGTGATCAAGCTCTGTTTTGATCTAAAATTTCCAAATTATATTGCAAAATTTTCCTCTGGTAATCAAACATTTCTACCTCAGCGAATGAATTACCTTAGAGATTTAATAGCATTTTACTGAAACTACTTTTCTGAGTATATTATAGTATCTACTCTATTTTTTTTTTTCAAAGAAGTCTGAAGTTCGAAGTCGGATGACTTTCCTCGAAAGACGCAGAAACAGTAATTTTTAGGAATACTTGACGTCTGCTTTCCAAAATTTATTTTTGGATCAGTAAACAGGCTGAATGATTTTTCAATATTAAGCATCGCATCTGCCATAATATTGGCTGGTCTTGAAATATTTGAATTCATGTAGTCCCATAATCGAAATTCCTAAGATTTCCGGTTTGGAGATGTATGGGCCTATTATTTCACATTCGGCAGAACGTAAGAAAGGAGAAAAGCAAAATGGAATGATGTTTCATTTTTCACGAATGACTTTAGATTGTGTGCTTATCTACTTTCGTGGTTTGTATAACATTATTAATTAATTGATCAATATAATGTTGACTTTTGACCATGACAATTGTATGGTCTCGTTTAGTTTATTAACCAATTATTTTATAATAGCCGCTATGCGGGCAGCCTTCGTCTGGCTTTTAAATGTACCAGAAAAATGCCTAAAGGGAAGACCAAACATTAAATTTAAAAACTGCACAGAATTTTACTCTGGACAACAACTTTATCCCCCCAAAAAAAGCAAATAAAAATGTATTACATATAAAAAATTACAATGAAATAAGCAGTATCCCTTAATACAAATATTAATTATCCTAATAAATAAATTAACCAACTTCCCGTTGCGTTCTCTCGACAAATGTCCATTATTTAAGAAAAACATTAAATTTAAAAAGTGCACAGAATTATCGCCCTCATTTTTCCGAGTGGCAACGGTGCTAGTATCAGGAACAATGGCAACAGTGATATATGAGCAACAAAATGGCTGCGTGTCACTGTTGCTGATATAATGAGAGAGAATTATCGATTTGATGTGATTTAATTAAAAAACATAAAAAAAAAATTACAAAGCCCTTCCCCGGAAAAAAAAATCTGAAAGGTTTCAGATTTTAAATTAAATAATTTTAAAATGAGCATATCTTTAGAATTTTTCCTACACAGTTCCGCGCCCGCTAGAGATAAAAGGTTGTTTTTTCCCCGCCGTAGAGTGTTACCATTGCTCGCTTTTAATTCGTTGAATTTGTTACTCAGAAATTCGTAAAGTTTTACAAAATACGAAATCGATAATAAAACAAATTCGAAATTATGCCCATATTCGTAAGAGGATTACGTCACTCAAATTTCGATGGCTCTATGTACCGTTGTTTTATCACAATGCCAGAAATATACATACATTTATGCAGAAGATTTTTCACCATTTAATGTCTTAAAATATAATTCAAGACTCTAACATTGGGTAGCAACAGTTTGAAAAGTGAAACGGACATTTATACTGATTCAACGCAAAATCGCAAAACGAAAATAATAGTCCTTCAGCCCCTTTGGACTAAAAAGAAAAAAAAAAAAAAAAAAAAATACTCATTTGAAGTTTGAAAAATTCGCTTCGCTTCAAGGTGCACTGGCTCTTCTCTAGATTCACCTACGTACCAAATTTCGTAGCTTACGCGCAGCACGAACGAAAGACACACACTCACACAAAAACAGACTCTTTCTTTTATTATATGTAGAGATTAATTCACTTTCCTGTCCTCCTTGTTTCCACTTTTCTGCCAAAGTGTAAATTTCTAGCTCGTGTGATATTCATATGAGGTAGAAAGGAGATATCATTTACAGGAAGGTTTTAGAAGGTAGACTCAGAGCATGTTCTGCCTGCTCTGAGCCACGTTGTTAATTTTGAATATCTTGAGAGTAGTATTCTGCGGTGTTGCGTTATCGTCATTAGGCTTGTCATTCTGACTTTAGGTCAAAAGCAACTTGCGCGTTATTTTGTGTAGCCGTTAGACTAACTTATTTTTATTTAATTCAGTTCATTATCTTACACTAAAGCCATAAATGCTAGCTTGTGTAAGTACGAGTTATGCTTCCCGTTAACTTTTCTTGAGTCAAATCAAAAGGTTCTTAACACGCTTTTCCCTGTCTCTGTGGTACTTTGCAAGATAAAGTGATAATTTACTTTTAAGTCTTTTAAACATTTCGCACAGTTTATGTTTCCAAAAATCACGAGACGTTACACAGCTCAAAATAGAACCATATCTTCTTTATATTCCAATAATTATCAAGAACAGGTGCGCACCTTTGGAATACAGGATACTATAATAATGACAGTTGCAACAATTAACATTGTAAAGTTTGAGAAAAATGCCTAACATTTTTACTCTAATTTCGTTAATAGGCGCTGTTAATTCACTAAACGCACTTTTGTTTGAAGGTTGTTTTTCGAAGTTACTAACTGCGTTCTTGAAGTTCTTCCCGAAATTAGACTCGTTCTGAACTTCATTCATTTATTCTAAATGCATGAATTCGCATTTGATATAACTGCAACCGAATTTCAAAATTGTTGGGGGACTGTATTGCCTGGAACTGCGCTCATGAAAAGTGTAGATTGTTCTAAAATTTTTCACGCTGTTTGGCAATTTCCTTGTAAGTATTCGTTTTGTGGAGCTAAAATAAATAGCTTTAATAATAATAAAAAAATAATTGAGGATAGTTTATAGTATGCATATCGTTCTACAATGTAATATTTCTGAAATAAATTTATGGTACTTACGTACTATCGCAACCATCTTAGTAGAAGAAGCCAAATTGTCAGAAAGTGCCAAACCATTCTTCCGGCAACCATGCTCATTGCGTTCTATTTTGTTGTATTCCAAATTCCAACGGTTTTATGCAAAAAATTGTGATATTTTTGCCTTAAAATTTGTTTTAAAATAGGGGCTTGTGTCACCAGTAATAGAAGAAACTACGGCAAAAATTTCGACAGTAATAGCAAATAAAGAAAGATTCGAAAAAGAATGTAACTGTTTTATTTTTTGTAATGTATGACAAAATCCTCATTTAATAATTCATATTTGTATTTTAATTTGTTAAAATATGCTTTCTTTCCCAGTGCTGATATGTACCAAACTTACCAAGCTTACTGTATAAACATCGATACTTGTTTAACAAATTTATTATATAAATATCGATAATTTGGGAATTTTTCTAAAAAGGAAGGCAGGAAAACCCTCATCTTGCACATGCTAAATAACTTTTATATTTTTATCCGTAAAAAATTGCCTCAAAATGGTTGCAATAGTACGTAAGTACCAAATTTATGTATGTGAGTGCTTTGTCTGAATGAAGTGCAAATACATTCAAACATTTATACTGTTAAAAATTAATTAGTAATTAAAGCTGTGTGTGCATCTAAAAATTTCAAAGAGAAAACGGCAGTTTTGACATAAAAAGGATGTCTCGACGAATTTTTATCTCACGGATTTTAAAATGCTTGTTTCGATTCTCTGAAACTATCAAAGTTTTGAAATTCAACTATTTGAATTAAAGCAAAGACTTTACTGAAAACAAACTATAGATACCAAAACATTCTGAACTGGTTTTTGATGAATATGATAATTTCTGATTAAAAACATATTTAAAACTGTATGCTGTATATTATCCCAAACTTCGAGATAAAAGAAATTTGTCTTAGCTTATGATATTTGAGATAGTAAATATAAGAAGGTATAATTAAGGGTATATAACGAAAGGTATATAACGAAAAATATTACAAACTTTTTTCTTGGCTTTCATTTTAGTGGTACTATCCATCCAACTGCTTTCTTCTAAGGAACCTTCAAATGCTTGAAGGATAGGTGTGAAAATATTTTTTACCTGAAAAAAGACGAAAACATTATAAATTGTATTTGCACATCCATTTGTATCCATTTGTTAAATCGCAAACGATATTAAATTATATATTTGCACTATTTATACATTCTAAGTTAATATAATTCAACATAATTAACATGCTAAGGCCTTAAATATATAGTTGAGGGCAAAAGTATTGGTAAAAGTGGTGTTTTAATGAAACTATTAAATACAGTCAATAAAGAGGAATTTTTCTTATAGCAATGGCAATTAGGATACTTGAAATATTACGTAATTACAAGACAAGTTTAAGAATGTAATAAATTTAAGTTTGGGAAACTTAAAAGTTTCGTAGTCATAAAAACCAATGGAGACATGCAATCGATACACTTGGAAATAAAATAAGAAATTTACTGCAATAATTATTTTGTTGCGAATACGTCGTTGGTAATTACAGGTCTAAGTCTCTTAAGCAGAGAATACACTAAATTTTTAGCAAACAAAAAATTTCTTCAAACGTCACAAAACAAGGAATTTTTCACACTTGTGAATGCTGTGTAGTTTCAGTGAAATTCGACAATTCACCAGGGTATAATTATTAAAAATATTAAAGAAACTGATTATGATGGTCTTACCAATGCTTCCAATGACTGACATTTTATAGAAACTGCTATCATCTCAACAACTATATATCTGACTATGAAATTCTCACAGAAGTCTATTAAAAGAATACTGCATAAGGTATACGAATGTTAACTACAGTGTACAACATAAATAGTTTTTGCATACGTAGCAATACTGAATGCATTTTCCCTATTTCTTCAGCTTCATTGGACTGTTTTACTGTACGTAAATAGAACTCTATAATACAAGTGTAAAATTTATGTTTGTAAACAAGATTCAGTTTCTACTGCAATTAAAGATACTTCTATAAGATGAATGCTTCTGAACAAATACGAGTCTCTAATCTCCTAGTTGGTGAAAGGATCAATATTATTGGCTTCACAAGTGGCCGAATGTGTTAAAACCGCTGAAGGCTGGTAATTCGACCTGTTTTGGGGTTGTTTGATCCCAGGAGAACGGGCAGCGTGGTTTATTTTCCTCATGCCTAACATGAATATGCGCTAATTTCTCTTACAGATTCCTCCACGAAAGCTTTGCTTCTCTTCGGCAGATAGCCCTCATGTCCTTGCCGTTTTCAATTAATCGATAAGAATATTATTGACGAAAATAAAAAAATACTATTATTCCTCTGTCTCGCTTCCGTACGAAATAGTTGTCCAAGTAGCTCAGAAAATTCATATAAGTTGAACAGTTTGTGTATCGAAAGAAATTACATCATGAACATATTTAGTCTTAAGATCTTAGAAAAAGGATTTTCAAAATTTCGTTTTATTACGTTCTTTGCTGACATAATTTAATCTTCATTCATTGCTGATCTTTACATAAATCTGGGCATGGGAATGTCAACGAGGTTAGGATCATTAATTGTTTTGATTATCTCTCATCGTTACACAGTATTTGCACTAAAATCTGTTTAGTCTTAGATATTGCCAATGCTCTCCATTCCTTTCATTGATTGAGATTTATGAGTTTTTATACGTAGTATCATGTTCTGTGCATCATGGTTTACTTATATTGTTTGCATAATGCAATGCAGCTAATTTTTTTAAAAAACAAATAATGTAATGACATTAACAGTTATGCGACTTTTATTCTTACAGTTTTCCATTTCGATCGTCTATGTAATAATTTTGGAATGAAGGTTGATTTTAAAATTCTGCACATAATTTTAAGTGAAACGTGACTTATGTCTGTAAATAAAATTACGGATCTGAGTAGAGTCTAAGCAGAGAACACTAATTTTTTGGTAAACATAGCTGACATTTGAATTTTTGGTAAACATAATTGACATTTTATAGAAACTGATATAATCTCATCAACTGCATAGCTGACTATGAAATTCTCACAGAAGAATACCGCAAAAGGTATAGGAACCTGAAGGCCTGAAACTTCTGTAAATTCTCTATTGAGATGTAAAAGCCATTGAAGAAATATTAATGAAAGATATTTTTTCATTGAATATATTTAAATCTTAGCATAAACACTGCAGAATTTCAACCAGAAAAAGTCTACCCAATAGCTTGTAACTGTCCATGATTGTAACTGTCCGTCCCTTCCTAGAAGCCAACGGTGGCCACATGTCAGGCGCTTCTATATAATGAAATGGTCACCCCTTCCGGCCCTTGTAGTGGCCCAAGGCTAATAACTATTAAATAAAACGCCCGACCATTAAAAAAAGCTTTCGCGTAATCTAATATTATCCAGAAACGTTCAATATTTTAATTTTGAACTTTTTAAATCAACTTTTTTTAAATTCTAGTCATTCGCTCTAAATTGCGATTGATTAAGTTTTTTTTTTTTTTTTTTTTTTTTTTTTAAATTATGGCAAATGTCTCTGGCAAAGGGAAAAATCCTGTAAATAACATTTCAAACTGATCTCTTGGCATTCCGAAGGTTTCTAATTAAAGATAAACATCAGTATCCTAAGTTCAAAAATATATGAAAAAGAATCTCTTTGCCAAGTATAATGCTGAATAAATTAAATGAACTTTTAAACTCTGGGAATATGTACAAAAGGATACCACTTGTGAACTTTATAAACTGTGTAAGGATTATGTTAATTTTATTAACAGTTAAATTTTTAGTTAAACTTCTTCCCTGTCAAATTCTTAACTTCAACTTACTACTTCCGGCCAGAACGTAGTTTTAGATTCACGTCTGAATACATAATGAGGAGGAGCGGTATTTAACCGCGTAGTTCTACTTGCTGAGTAAAGGCCCGTTTCCACTACTGCGTATGCGTTGCGGTGCGTATGCGTTTCTCCAATCAGCGAGTGAATTCACTTTGATTGACATCTGCAATCCGGTCGGTGTGCGGTGACGGATGATGACATACGGATGGAGTTCAACAATGTTCAACTTCTATCCGTATGTCTGCGGTTGCGTTGGGGTCACGTGGTGAAAAAGGAGCAATCAGGTGCAGTGACTAAAAATTAATGGCGGCAGAAGCAGAAGTAGCGATGAACGCTCGCTAATAGGGAAAGAAAGAATGTTTTGCTAAAAAATACTTATTTCTGAATTAACATTATAGCGAGAAATCTGCGTGCTGAAAATGATAGCAATCAGCTGAATTTAGTTTAAAATGATAAGAAAAACAAGATAACTGCAACTACAGTACTTGTTCATTCAAGAAAATCAGCGGCAAAAATTATCATTCCAAGTCCATGAAATAGCAAAATTTGTTCTGATAATCATTTTTTAGTTCTGCATACTCATTTAGCTTTAATGAAAATGAATGTCTGACTATATCAAACTGCTATAGCAAATTAGATATGATTAAAAGATTTGCTATTTTTTTCTTTTGAAACAGGTAAAAACTAAAAACGTTAATATAAATTAAATTTGATAGCCTTTTAAATACTCCAGTTCATTGAAGATTATGTTAAATTTGTATTTCCCTTTATAAATATATCTTTTTGGATAAAATATATTTGTAAGCACATGAAATATATTTTTAGCAGCCCATTTAACTTCAATCGGAACGCCACTTTGAAAGATAATGATTTTTTCCAAAAAATGTACTAAAAGCTGAAGAACAAACTCTGGTGAATTTTTCAGACAATAGCAAAGTGAAATAGGACCAAAAAACTTAAGGTTTTAAGAATTGATTTACTTGATGATGTATATAAGCCCAAAATATGCATTACGACTTACGTGTAATCCTAGCTTAGTGGTAAAGCTGATGGTAACGATGTCCATTTTTTTGGAGTCGTGAGTTCGAATCCCATACGCGTTTTGCACCATGTCTGCAACTTTCTTACCTTTTTATTCCAATTTGATCTATATTCGTGTTTTATAATTTATTTCTATTATTATATGCATTAAATATATTGTTTTATTTATGCTCTTATTTATTTATTTAATTTTTCCCGCCAAAAAGTTTGAAAATTATATAATACTAATTTAAAGCATATCCTGTACATATATTTTGAATTTAACAAACATTCTCTATTCGTAAAAAGCAAATTTAAAGTTAATTAAATTTAAATGAAATTTAATGCAAACAAAGAAATGATTAATTATTGCTGTGCAAGTATCAAAATCCATGAATAAATATATAATTCCAAAAATTTATTAATCCTTAAAAAATTTATAAAAATGCATAAGTGAATAATGGGATAGATTATTAATCCTAAAAAAATTATAAAAATGCATAAGTGAATAATAGGATAGATTATTAATCCTAAAAAAATTATAAAAATGCGTAAGTGAATAATAGGATAGCTTATTAATCCTAAAAAAATTATAAAAATGCATAAATGAATAATAGGATAGATTTAATCCTAAAAAACTTATAAAAATGCATAACTGAATAATATGATAAATAAATTTTTGGAATTATATATTTATTCATGGATTTTGATACTTGCAACTTGATTTACATATGCTCTCAGAATTTAAATGATATTGTATATTAGTTCGCAGCAATAATTAATCCTTTATTTGTTTGCATTAAATTTCATTTAAATTTAATTAACTTTTAATTTTTACGAATAGAAAATGTTTGTTAAATTCAAATTTCATTCCTTGCAGCAATGGCGCAAGAGAATTATTTAAATTTAATTTATTTTGAAACCCTGCAGATATATATATATATATATTTTCGTTTCACTTTTATGTGAATGTATATAACATGTGCTCAGACTTTGGGATGTTTACGACTCTAAAACTTTCATTCCAATTAACATGAGACAGTATTAATGCCCTAAACATTTTCTTTTAACAAAAAATTACTATAATAATTGCTTTTAAATTTCAGTCCTCTCCTGCAGAAGCGCAGGAATTAATTAATTAAATATTTCCATTTTCTTACCTAATGTGTGTATATATAAAGAGAAAAATCTTATTTTTATAACTTCTTGTATAAAAGAGATATGAATTAAAAATGTTTTAAATTAAAAATAATATTTTATGGATTATGTATAAAATATAACTGCCCATAGTGCATTTTAAAACAAACGAGATTTCTAATAAATTATCCAGCTATGACCCTGAAGTCAGCGGTATACAAGCATAGCAAATTTTGCTTAAATATTGTGAACCTTTCCTTACAGTTGCTCTGTACTTTTAAAGTACCAACTATTTTTTAATCCCTTTAACTTTTTTATTTTATGTTATTTATTTGTTTACTTTTTCACTAACAGTACATTTTAGTTTTAATAATATATATATTATTTCATAATATTTAAGGCTTCTAGAAACACATTTTTTTTTTTTAATTTAGTTCAGCTTCTATGGAATTCGTGATGTTCATAATATGCATTATAACCTTACTTATCTAAAATTCCATATCAAATCCAAAACAAACAATATTCGCTTAAGCGGGAAAAATTCAGTCGTCGTAACTTGCGAACTGCTTGCGCCAAAATATTACAGTGACACCTAGCGACGGAAAATGAAAATATTTTACGCATACGCAGCAGTGGAAACGCTTGTACGGATGCCGTAGGCGTGTCTTCAATTGACGCAACGCGTTCGTACGCAGTAGTGGAAACGAGCCTTTAGAGAGAATCAGAGTTTCTGATTAGCGCGCGACGCCTTTTTGGCTACTCTCTCTCAAAGCTGTTATTGGCCTTGGCTTCTTATTGGCTGTTATTGGCCTTGGCTTTTTATTATTGGCTTCTTGGCCTCTTAAGTTCAAGCCCAAGTGTCGGCTTTTATCGAACACTCCAAGACGGAGTTCTGTTAAATCTTATCTGAATAATAAAGAGTTATTTACCCTTTCATCTTGTTGTTTCTTGTTGCACGAACTCAAGCGATTATTCGCTTATCATTTCTTAAGATTCTTCACGTTCAACTGTAAATTGGCATTTACAAAGTGGAGAACTCAGCAACTGTAATAACACGAGCCAGCATATCATTTTAAGTATCTTTTCCAAAACTGCACTGGTTTATTGTCAAAATTATTTTCTGTATTGCCAACGTTTACGTTTACAAATTCTGGAGCTCTCAGATTCTTATTCACAGTGTTTTTTGATGTTCTCAAAAGATTTGACCCCTTAGAAACGTTTTTAGTTACAGTTATTAGTACAGATAATTTTAATATGGTGCTCTCTCAGTATCTATTATATTTACCTTATTATGTTTATCTGCTATTTTTTATTACATCAAAACAAATGTTCTCAGCTTAATTTGTGAAATTCAGATTGTATTGTAATCTCCCTATGTGTTAAATCGTCATTTTTAATAAATACTGGATGCGGAGTGTGCGGTGGAATTGCGCGATAGGTAAACTCGAGATCCTTTGAAAGTTTCAGATGTTCATCTTCTGAATATTCCTTTGTAAACACAACAATTGCACAAAAATTTAAACCCCTTTTTCTATTTTTTTAAAAAGATTTTTTATTCCAGACTGCATCGAAAGTAGGCTAATTTATAAGTGTGAAGTAATTTGTTAAATATGACACCTAGTTAAATGAAATTGAAGACCTTAATCGTCACCCGCTATTAGCCGCTTAAAGAAAAAAAAATCATAATTGAAATTGCTAATTGGTAAAATTCTGCTGTAGCTTGCGGTGACTATCATATATAATTCCTGTAGTAATATTTGGTTGAAGTAAATTACGTCTCATAAAATCTTGATCGTGTTTTAATTATTCTGGTGACAACCGGTTTTAAAGCATTACTGCTTATCTAGTAACTTAAAATTTAGTTCAGAATACGTTTCATCCCCATTCTCGAACGTATGTTATTAGTATGTCCTCGTTGTCAACCGGATTTTATAGATTTCATAGATTTCACCAGATTGTTAACTAAATCAAGTATTTTTCATAACTGTGCTGGATGTAATACTTTTGGTAATTACTAAGTATTAAGAAGTTTGGTCAACTTCCTAAAAGTATGTTTTCTGCTTTTTCTTTACTACATGAATATTCTAAACCTATCGTAACCAAAATCTATAACTCAGTTTTAAAGGTACTAAAATAAATACTTAGTGTTTTATTTAACTAAGCAAGTTAGTAAACTAAACTATTAAAGTTTGGGCTTAAGAAACTAGTTTACACAAACCTACACTAGACTATTTGCTGGGTTAGACTTGAAATATGTTTGTATTTTTCAAAACGCATTATTGTTAATTATATGTTATGTTGTCCCCCTTTTACTGTCGGGTGTTACTTTGAATTTATATATATTTGCCATATAATATTGCATTCTTCGGATTTTAGAAAACTATAGTGTGTCTATAATAAATCTAGCGAATTTAACGAGATAGCTATTTACCTTCAATGTTTAGTAGACTTAACCCTGTAACCTTATTCTTTTTTGCCATGTTTCTCATACTGAGGCATTTCGTATTACATTTTACAAGAGATACTGTAATTTACATGCAACTTCTCTAAATCTATTTACATATATATAAATTTGTAACACTATAATAAATTGCATATTTAATATAACAAATAGCACGAAAACTTACGTGTAGATCATCCTCTATTTGATTCTTTTCCTCTTCAAGGTGGTTTTGCAAATAGTAAGCACTTAAGGCTAATCCCGCATAGCTTCTGAGTGAAGTGAGACAGTCTTCCAAACGGGTCTTGTATGGAGGATTTTGTAGGTTTTTCCAACTATCCTCCATTATGGATAAAGATTCTTCAATAAATTTCCAAATCATATAATTGGCTAACGCCCTGAAAACAGAAAATTTTAAATTACGATGATAGTTGTAGAACGATCAGTTTTATAAAGTTCTAGTTAAATTATGTGTCTCTGGCAATTAGAAATAGAGAAGAGTATAGCGACTATTCACTGTTCTTTGTACAACGATAAAAATAAAGTCCAAAGAAGGGTTAAAACAGCCTTTTATTCACTCAAAGTATAATAACAGTTGGCCTCTCTCGGGCTTACAGGAAAGCCTCAGCTTGGTACTCCAAGCTGAGTACTTCTGAGCTCTTCTGCGGAAGTGACGGAACTTCCCATTAAACGTCGGTTCTACCTAATTTACATAAAATGCGATGCTGGAAACTCATTCTGGCAGGGAGAGTTGTAAGAGGGAAACACGATAATAAAGGAAAAGGTTTCAAAATGAAAAATAACTATTAGAAAATTAAAATAATCTCTACAAGTTAAAAGGTTTAAAGTCATTTTTCATTGTGATAAATATCACCTTTTTTTTAATCGGGGCCTTATGAAATTTGCTAAAGAATTCTTGTTAAAACCTCACACACTAGATTTAAAAGGAGCAGTTTACATGTTATTTCTCAGAAATTATGACGATTAACTGTGCTCGGAAAACTATTTTTGTTTCTTTGAACTAGGAAAAAAAAATGTAGCTTGCAATCTAGGTAAAACAGCTCAGTATACTATTGTAAAGTGTACAATCGGCCCTCTTATTGCTTTCCAGCTATTTACAGAATCACAAAGGACGAGAAATATCTCGCGGCCGGTTGAAAACTACACTGGTTATCATAAATTAAGGAAAAATCATAAAAATCACGATTACTGAAAAAGTTACATGTAGAATTTAATGAAATTTACCCACAATATACAACACATAGTAAGGTATCAAATAACATCAAAAGAAATTACCAGACAAATATGGTAATATAGAAATTAGCACATGTACAAAATGAACAAATCGAAGGTGTCAGTTTGCTACAGAAAAGTACCTTCAATATGGAATATGATCGCCTCTAGCAGCAATACAGCACATACAGCGATGTGTGTTGCTTTCAATTATGCGGACTATCAGTTCCATAGGAAGCGAGAGCCATTGCTCTTGCAAAGCAGTTGTAAGCGCGGCAAGGGTCTGAAAGGGCGGATTGTGAGCAGCTAGACGTCTCCCTAAAGCATCCCAAACGTGCTCGATAGGATTCAAGTCCGGGGATTGAGGTGGCCACTCCACGCGCATATTGGTTTCCTGTTGAAGATAATCATCTACGAGTGAACCCTGTGTGGTCCTGCGTTGTCGCGTCCTGTAACAGGAAAGCATCACCTATTGTCTCGGGATACGGTCGCACATAAACATCAATGATGTCATCTCTATAAATCTGAGCATTCACGGTTCCCATTGGAAAGACATGGAGGTCTGTGTGTCCACCCAAAGAGATGCCACCCCAAACACAGACACTGCCTCTTCCGTATGCATCTCTTTCACGGATGTTTGACGGATTCTAGGTTAGGATAACGGGTTCTAGGTTCTCTCAATATCAAATAACGCCTACTGTCGCTTTCTAGACTAAACTTGGACTCATTCGTAAAGAGAACTGCCCTCCATTGATCAGACGTCCAGTGGACATGTCGTCGTGCCCACTGAAAAAGGTCCCTTCTATGGCGTGACGTGAGCGGCACACAAATGGCTGGTCGCCTCGCATACAGACCACCTTCGTGAAGCCTTCTACTCACAGTTGACGTTGACACGAACCTTCCGGGGGCTGCAGCAAGGGAGGATCTAAGAAGAGTCGGAGTAGCGGTTCTATTCTTGCGTGCACATAATGTCACATATCGGTCATCGGTGCTCGTCGTAGCAGTTGGCCGTCCTTGGCTGAACCTCCTAAATGCCGAATCTGTGGTTCGAAATTGCCTCCAAAGTGTATGAACCACAGAAGGATTCACATTTAGCCATCTGGCCACTTCTGTTTGACTTTGTCCTGCCTCTCCATCGTCTGACAATGGCTCTCCGTCGTAGTTCTGCAGGCAAATGATGCCTGGAGGTCATTGTTACGAATTGGCTATCTCAGATTTCTGATGTCACTGTCACAGTGAAATATGTGGGCTTGCTCTCAAACATGGACTTTTATGCTCCTCGCAGATGACGTATTCCGAAAGCAGTGCCACTAATTTGCATATCACAGTTTTACTCAGCTACTCTTACTTGGCAACATATTCAAAATTTACACGGTTTGGCTTATTTTTGAGGGAGTTATCGCTAGTTTTGTGATTTTTCCTTAATTTATGATAACCAGTGTATTTCAGGCCGAAGAGAGAGCATCTGCTCTTAGTTGCTTGGTGTGCAGGCAAGCCTCCACATTATTCAGCGTCAGGTGTGCTAACCGCAACCGCTCAAGGACAAGGCGAAAAAGATTCCAACAACCGGTTTCTCCTTCTTCTGTTGCTGGGGTTCGGAGGTGTAGGACGGTCTCTGGCTGTCCTCACTCTGGCCGATGCGATGTGCCATTTTTTTCTTCTTCTCGTTTGCTGCTTCCTTCGATGCTGTCTGCTAACGCATGGAATTCATTTTTAGTGAGATTTTGAAATGAAGATTCAAGAAAATAATTACTCCAGTTTTCTAATACATGGCTGCTGCGGAAAATAATTTTTGTTCAACCACTTCATCCTTTTGAGAACTCTTTGTGCGCACGTGATTTCATCCTTTTCTGATTTAAAGCAGAAAAGGAAAAAATACCATGCGTAATCAAGTACGCTTAATTACTGCCGTTAAATTTTGACTGTTCCATTTTTACCGAGACTTTGTTTCACTCTGATGGAAAAAGATTAACAATAATTTGAGTGCAACGTTATTTTGGTTATGCGCATTACACGTGCTAGATGTTCCGATCCTGATTTTGTTTAAGACTTACATCCGTCTTTTTGGCTGATAATTTCTTAATTTATATTAATGCTTATTCAGAAATGAAGATGTTAAAGAAAGAATAAAAAATTAATTGATTTTGTGATATCTGAATTATCATCCTTTGGGGTAAGCCACTTTGATTTCATATTTCCTTTCAAGATCACACATTTCTATCTTTGTATCTATTTCTATCACATTTGTAAGCATTACGGGTTATTGCATCCACAACGCAATCTACTATGTAAGCAATTAATTTGATTTCACATTTAATAATACTTTAAAAAACACCGCCAAATTAATACATTTGGCCCCCTTATTACATAAAGAAAACGAGAATTTTGAAGAGTATAAAAATAAAAGATTTATTTTTGATTAAATACTAGCTAAATTTGTAAGTGTTTAGTATTTAATCTGAAACAATTACATACCTAACCGAGTAAATAATTCATTAGCAAATAAAGAAAGAGAAGTTTGATTTTGAAAACATTTGGTACTATGAAGACAATGAGGAAGCCTCTAATAGATTGAAAAGCGAATATGTGTCGAGTATTTACACATCCTGTTTTTTTTCCTTGTAAGAAATAAAGAAAATATGGTAATCATGAAAAGTTTTGGGTTTCAGATTTCAAGGGAACTACCAATTTTAATCACCCCCAGTATCCATTTTGATTGTTTTCTCTTGCGTGCAGACAGAACAAGATTCTATTCAAAAACGGATTGCAAAAGGATTCTAAATGGGCTCAATGGACGGGACGTTTTCGTGACGTATGTGCGTATGTACATACCTGTATGTATCTGACACTAACTCAAACATGATTAACCGTAGAAGGCAGAAATTTTGTATATTATGGGTCTGCTATACATCTAGTGTGCACTTCCCTTTTTTATTGCAATCGCACTTTCTATTGCATCTAGTTGTGCACTTCCCTTTTTTATTGCTTTACGTATTTTATTACCGAAAATATATAAATAAATATATTTCCCTCCTTACCAGATTTTTATTTTCGCAATCGCTCGTCATAGACATATGCTTCCAATGATAGAAGTGTGTTTTAAATGACGAAAATATTCTTGTTTGAGAATTTCAAATTTTGGACACTCAAATAATTGTAAACGACTCAAATAATTTTGGACATATAACGAAATCTAACTTTTAATGCGGTCTCCCGGTTCCTATACTTTTATTTAAGAAAATTTGATACTTGTTATGAAAAAATAAAAATGCAAAAAGTTTGACTGCAGTTCCACAAAAATTGAGTGGGATATCTGACTCCGAAATTTGTAGTTTTTGATGTCATTTTCAACTTACTTTCAGGGATTGGTTAATTAAGTTAGAATAATTCGAAGAAATAAATTTTAATGAAGTGTAGCAAAAATGTGTATAATTTAATAAGCCGTACAAGGAAGTCCCGTGGATTCCACATCAGATTTTTTTTAATTCTCTACTCATACGCACGGTATTTCAAAGATACAAACTGCCGCCTCATAATTTTATTTATTTTTGTCCTTTTGACTATATGCCTGAGTTTCATGTTCAAAACTTTTGTGCACCTTGAGACTAAGTCAGTTTCGTTAGTTTTTTGAAACAGCAGAATGTTAGCGATGCTGGATAAATGCTAGAAAGTTAGTTGGCTTCTTGAGCCCGTCCCGTTAGTGTTATAACTCTGAAATATTTTTATTTGTAATCAAGCTGTAATTGCACCTTAGCGATAAAGTGATGTAATTGATAATCGATGATAATGTACTAAACTAATAGCATCTCTGGTGCAAATAAGCAAAAACATTTACATGAATTGTAATATCATGAAATTCTTACGAATTTTCTCTCACCTTTTATTTGATTTTTCAAGATGAGTACCTAAGCGACGGAAAAAATTGACATTCGTAACAAGAATAGGTTCATTTTCGCCGATATCATAACCAACGATTTCTCTAAAATATCTAATCCAATCGATCTGCAAACAGTAAAAAATAAAAATAAATAATAAAACTTTTATTCTCACAAATAACACTTTTCAATGTAAATCCTTGAACATAAATACAACACAGAAATTTAGGAGGAATTTAATACAGAAAAATACTACTTAGAGCAGGGGTTGACAAATGTTTTAGGATCGCGACTCCATTTTAAGTGCTCAGGCCGTATGGCAACCCCAGATTCTTAGGAATATGCATTTTACAATATGTTTGATGCCTGTTACGCAGATTTTAAAAGACTTCCAACCCCAAAAAAGTTTTCTTTTCCTAGTTTCAAGACCACTAATTTAAAGTACTTTAAAAAGTAGGAATACGTTTCAAATACGAAAACATGCAGTTTTCCCCTCCCCTTAAAAGCTCCGTGCACTACAGTTTTTGTCTACATTTTTGTTGTCATGTATAGAAAGCTTATAATTTTTTATCCATTTTAGTTATTAAAGTCCTTAGTGTTATTATTATATATATATATATTGCTTATTACGTGGATGCCCCGTAGAGGTCTTTTTAAGGAAAAGTAGTTTGCATCCACGTTACACATGAAACCACGGAACCACGAAAATTCCCATGCAGCCAGCCCGTTCGCCGGGACTCGAACCCCGAACCGAACTACCAGTGTTCAGCGACTTTTACTGCTCGGCCGTTGGTGGGCTCTTATTCTTATATATTTATGAAATATAATTTTTCTAACTGTTATTTCCATATTTTCATAATATTGCTTTCTTAGTATTAGATAAGATTTGAAGTTTTTCTATTTTTTATGACTAATTTCGGAAAAAAATTAAAAATCCAAGCAAAAGGGAGTACTTGAACGTCCAAAAAGAGAGAATTATAGTAAAGGTGTTTAAATGTAATGAATAAACGGATGCAATTAACTCTACATACAGGAAAATAGGATAAACTGCAGGAGAACAAGACAGTGAAATCTAAATATCAAGGTGAATTTAGCAAAAATTATAGCAATAAATATCATTCAGTATTAAATTTAACAAAGCTGTTGTCAAAACAGGAAACTGAACTTTAGCACACTAATAGTTTCTTCATTAAATTAACGAATAAAAAGTTAATGAAAGTTTTGTAGAATTTTTTAATTGATGAAACCAAATTTAGAAGATTTATTGCACTATTAAAAGAGTAGAAACGTAGCATAGTTTGGAAGTTCATTGTTAAATAATTTAGTACATTTAGGGTTAAAGTGAGTAACACTAACTACCGAATGCATAATACACTAAGCATGCAAAATATAAAAATTCTGCAGTTATTTAAGCATTTAATCTGACAGTACGAAATGGTATACGGTATAGGAAATAATTACGAAAGATTAACTCCATGTCAGACATGTTAACACGTAAAATTTAACTATTTTGAAACTTAATCTCTGGATTCGTGAAGGCAGGCAGGCAACTAATTGCCTCGCCTTAATCACTCAGTAACTCCAAATTAGGAGAATGTTTAAAATAAACTTTTTTATTAGTTCCTCAGCCTTACACTAACAACAGAAACCAAATTCCACAGCTTGCAGGAACAGCAAAAACAAAGCGTAAAGTGAAATTTAATGCATTCGATTAGATTTAAGACGCGCTCCTACGAATGTTTAGTATCCTTGCACAGTATGATCTTTTAAAAATCTGCCATTACCTCTATTCAAATTCCTTTGCTTTTAGGTATATAACGTTGCGCGCCTCTAACTTGCACGCAACCAAGAGGTGACTGTGAAAACTTGTATAAAAGAGAGTCTTGTGAAGGGTTTAAGTCCCTTTTTATTCAACGTAATAAATTACAATTGCGTGCTCTTGACGCTTACAGACTGTGCCAACTCGGCAGTCAAATAAAAATAATAACCTGAAAAGAAAGTAAAGACAAGATTCTAACTACGAGGCTCTCTAAAATAACTAACTCACCGCGTTTTTACAATACCGCTGCTAATTCAGCAGACTTGAAGCTCACTGGAACGATTAACCACTACTTCCCGCCAAGCACATAGGCCGCAACGCGGGGTTCTTCAATTCTCGCTAACTACCTCCGCGCTCGTGCTAAGTAAGAATATCTCTCACACCGAACTTGTTTCCTTCTATTTAAATCAGAATACTTCCGCTGATAATTTGAATCCTTGCGCGTTCTACTCAAATTTACATATTCTGGCATTGGCAGTTCCAGGGGAAAGTAAGGCTTGACAGGAAAGATAGTTTAAACTTAAAATAAATGTTAGTTAAAATAAATATAAACCCTACATTTGCCGCTGCCAGAATTTGGAAAACTTGGAAGCAGGTCCTACAAACGACCTGTTGTAAGTTTATCTAATTCTGAACTAACTGGCGAGAACCTCGTTTACACAAAAAAAATCTTATGTAACAAATTGTAAAATTCTGTTGCTCGTTTTAAAGCTTCTCTTCTTACAGCAACTTTTCCTGGACTTCATCAATCAATCTTGGTCTTTCCTTCCAGCATCTGGAAGGAATAAGTATCAGTATCTTTCTACATACATTATAATTTACACTTTCTTGACACAATAAATTTTTGTTTTTAAACGATTCGTTTTTCTTAGTTATTGCTTACTTCACATTCATTCAATTTTTCAAGCATTAATTTAACTTTACCCTGGCTCTCCACCGTGTGTGGTGTCAAACGGGAATATTCGTGTTTTAGTCTTACAACACTTCCCCTAACCACCATGATTTGTTAGAATTCAACGACCAAATAGACACACCTTACTCGACATTCTACAACTCAATGAGCTACTTTAATATTCTTAAAAATTCAAATGTAGGTGGAGAACCCTACAAAACACATTCATTCTAACTTCCCCCTCATTCATCTTTAAACATGCAGGCTTTCGCTCTAAAGCATGACTTTATCTACAATTTAATACTTAAATTTTGACTTCATTGCTTTTAAGCATTCACTTTTAGCATCTACAATTTTATGCTTCTAGACTAAATTCTACTTTTACATAACATTCAAGTATTTACATACATTTACAAAAATTTTAATACATATGCTTTTTACAATTTACCATAAAATGAATAAGAGAAAATAAATTTTTACTTTACTCATTCTTCGCCAAGCTGGCGGCACTGAAACTAAAATTCTTATTAATACAAGAATACGAAGTTATTTTTATCTTCGGCCAAATTTTGGCTTTAACATAACAGAATTAGTCTTTCGACCAACAGAAAATGCTTGTTTTTAGCTTTTACACTTAAAGAAAATAATACTTTTGCCTTAGCTAAATAAAGTAAAACAAAACTAAGTCTCAACCGAGACATATTGACTTTCGTCAAAACATAGAACTTCGTACTTATGCATAACATTTCGGAACAAAAGAGAAAAAAAATTTATAGAAGGTTTTAACTTATCTTTGAGTTTTCGATGCTTGAAACTCCGTCATTCCGTTTTTGGCAAAATTGATCCCAAGTTAGAGGTTTCATGGATGTCAATCTTCTCCTTATTGATCTCCGAGTGTCGTCCCACGTTGACTTTTTCTTTTGCGTCCTCTACATGCTGGCCTCTTGACGGAGTAATCGTCTGGTTGTTGGCCTTTGCGTTTCTCCCTGGGACGGCTGGTCTTGACGTCCTCCGGTCTGGAGTCCTTCTTGAATTTCTTCTGTTCCTCGTATTTTTGTGCCTCCTGTTGGCGTTTCAGTTTCCGGAACGGCGGCCTTGCTGGCACCTGACTCTGTGGCCGTGTGCGCGTTCTCCTTGATGTGTAATTTCTCCTGCCATCCTTTGTAGGTGGTGTTTTCCTCTTTACCACGGTTTCTTTACCCGGTTCATCTGTATTTTTGTTTTTCTTAAACGCCTGGAGTTTGAAAATTATTTTTTCTTTTTGATACCGACGTCCGGGTTGTAGAAGTGCTAGGTCTCTCTTCAGTTCTCTGTTTCTTGGGTGGTGGAATAGTTGTTGCAGTCTCTGGCCCTTCTATTTCGTTTAGACTTGAGTCCTGCAAGAAACTTTTAAGGATTTCAAAATCATTTGGATTATAGTATTTTTTTCACCTGGTCGGGACTTGCTTTACAGATTTCCCCTCTCTCGTTCTTAAGATATAAGACTACTCCTTTGATTTCCTGAATTACATAGGGGCCTTCAAACTTTGGAGCTAGCTTTGCCATAAAATTGTCTGGGGCACTTGATAAAGAAAATTTCCGCTTCAATACTTTATCCCCAACTTTAAAATCTGCTTCACGGCGTTTTCTATCGTAATATAGTTTCTGCCTATTTCTTGCCGTATCCGAGGTTTTAAGCGCCTGATCAATCAACTTTTGCACATCTTTTTGTTTTTAAAACTCCTGCTCTCTTTGTTGCACAAAGAATAATTTATCTAAAGGCGTAATTAACTTTCTGCCTAAAAATAATTCTGCTGGAGTTTTTCCCGTAGTATCATGATGTGCCGTTCTTAAAGCATAAGCTAATTCATTTATGTAGCCATCCCAGCGCTTGTGATGTGTGCTCACGTAACTGCGAATTATTTTTACTATGTTTTTATTAACTCTTTCTGCTATGTTAGCCTGTGGTCTATACGGAACCATTTTGATATGGCGTATGCCAAGTCCATTGCATATGTTTTCAAATATTTGACTAATGAATTGTTTTCCGTTATCGCTAATGACTTTTATCGGTGCACCGTATTTTAAAATGTATCTGTGTAAGAATGCATCTGCGACTGTTTTGGCTGACGCGCGTTTAAGTGGAACAATTTCTATCCATTTTGAAAAATGATCTACTATTACTAAAAGAAAACGATTTTTATTTAACTCGCTCTGGGGGAAGGGACCAAGGAGATCTATGCCTAAAATTTCATTCGGAAATGTAGCGCGAATGCTATTTAAGTACCCGGCCGGGCTGTAATTAATATCATTTATTAACTGACATTGATTGCAGGACCTGACATACGCCGTTACTATTTTGTATAATTGCGGGAAATATACCGCCTCGCGTACCCTTTTTATAGTCTTTCTGACCCCGAGGTGGCCCGCTGTTTTT